GCACCTTGTATCTAGGTATCATGGGTTTCCCAAAAGTTGGGGCAGATGTGGGTGTAGCACCTTGGGCCAACACATGTCCTTTTTGGCATGTCCAGATGTCCTGTTTTTCTTGACCGTTCATTTGATAAACTGAAAATCCTTCTTACATTAAAAGAAAAATAATAAACCCGTGAATGGATTGCCTAAACCTTATGCCTAAACATTAGATTCATTTGAATCCTGAATGTTATGTACTTGTGTTACTAAGATATGACAAGGTGTATTGGATGCGAAGTTTTTCGTTAAAAAATTGAAGTATCTGACGTGCGATACCATTGTACATGGGTATCGTAGCCACATATTCTTATATCAAAATTTACTACCACAGAACATGAGGTCTTATCTTCTCTACAGAATACCAGTCTTCGTGACAATATTGAATCTTTTTGAGGTTGGTTAGAGTTAGCCTCCTTATTTACAGTTGTAATTATTTTCTTGGTGTTGGGGGATTTTTTAATAGTTGACGTTTTCTTGGGACAAGGCAGCTTCTCCCTTGTTAGAATTTTTGTTAATAAATAAAATTCAAGATAACCATTTACCCACCTTAAGTAAATTTTGCAGTTTAAACAAAACTTTAGGTTAGAAAACTTCATGGAAGAGAATCATGGCATGATGTTCTATGAATAGCTGTGACACAGGACCTTGGGCGAGCTTGTATATGACCGACAAGTTATTCGTGATGATTATGAAAAAAATTACTATTGTTAACAAAGGTATAAATAGTTTTTATCGAGCCAATGAGACCCAAGACTGACATGAAGTACCCTGAACAAGCTACTAGTAGGCCTGTTCCCCCAAGGCTACAGAGTGGTTGCAGCGCTAAGAATACCATAGATAAATAAATATGGCATCTTGTAGTTGCAATCATGGTTTTTAAAAACGAACCGGTGATCGAATTGGTCAGGGGTCCGATTATCGGTTTGAATGGTCTGACCGTTCGACCTGAATGGCTGATACAAAAAAATAAAAAAAAATTTAAAAAATTGAAAAATAGTTAAAATCATTCAAACAGTGCGAACGGTTAACCGGCTGGTTCAGCGGTTTGCTAACTAAAATCAACGGTTTTGAAGGAAAATGGATGACCGGTTCCCAGTTTTTCCGGTCCGGTCCGGTTTTGAAAACAGTGGCTGCAGCTTGCAAACATAGATCATGCATGCTGGAGTTTGACATTGACATATGTACCCCACCTCGGAGGCACAATTGGGATTGTTTCTTCACTCCCAACTTATATAACCAAATAATAGGTAAGTTTATTTTTATTTAATCATTCATTTTCAATGGATGCATGTATCTTGAGATTCCAATTGCAAATTTATATATAAAAATTATTTGTTGCATTTTTCCAAAAAAAAGAAAAATATAAAAATTATAAAAATTATCTATTTTATCTCTAAAATAATTTATGTTAGTAGATTAAAAATTTAAGAGTTGTATGATATATTATTAATAAAGTTATTGTATGATTGATATCTACATTTTAGACTCCATATATTATTGATTGTAATGTATCTATTTGCATAAACCATTAAAACATGTATTTATTATGTGCATATAGTTTGTGGATAATCATTTGAACCTTCGGTGTTATTGATGGATGTATTTGTGAGATTTATGTGAGATTTCCTAATATATTCATATTTTCTCTATCTTTCCACCGTTTTTTAGTCCCAAACTTTACTCCAGGTGGCGGGGTGACCACCTAAAATTTTATGAAGGGAAAATTTTAGATTAGTACCCTGTACTTTGGGTCTAGTGCCATTTTGGTTCTCGAACTTTAAAAAGCAACAATTTAATACCTGAACTTTCAAAACGTACAAAGAGTACAAAGCTGTCCCTTGCACACTCAACCCTACCCAGCAAGGAAATAAACATTACAAACAAACATAAAACAACAGAGAATCAACCAATAAGAAGAGTAGGAATTCCCATGTAATCCTCCATAAGCAACCCAGAAAACATTCCCGGAAGACAGGAACCGCCTTCAAACATCCCAAACCCGCTTTTATCAATCCCCATATTAACAAGATAGTCTGCACATTTACTGCCTTCTCTAAGACGGTGACAAAATATAGCTTGCATGTTAGAGGCCATATATTGAACTTAAGAAATAATTGACCATGGTTGATCTTCTCCAAACTTTATCATCACTTCCAATCTCCACTTCCAAAATTCCCTTCTCCAAACACAATTTCAAACCATCATATAAAGCTAAAAATTCCACCTGGATAGGTGTGTTAATGCCGTAAGAATTAAAGAAAGTAAAGAGTAAAGAGCCACTCGAGTCTCTTACAAGACCTCCACCCCCACTGTTTCCTGGATTGCCACGAGAAGCATCGTCCACATTCAGCTTGATGTGATATTGATTTGGAAATTTCCATGAAACCCACCTGACTTTTTCTCGGTTTTAAGGTTTCACATATATGTTGAAGAGGTGTAGGATGGAAACATCATGGTCTTGGGCAGATGGAACACTACTTGTATTGCTCAAATCAACTAACCAATTTTTAATTTCCTGAATTAACACAGTAGCATCAGAACCCAAAGAATGATAGGAGTAATGCCAATGAGTTTGTGGGTCTAAGAATCCTTAACACAAAGGCTCCACCATTGGTGCACTCTATTTATCACATGTTGAGTGGGAAAAAGAGGGGATATTATCTTAAGTATGCCAATACCTTTTTAGCCATCACACCAGTCGCATATAGATGATTGATTGTCTCAATGCTATGTTTCCCACAACAAACACACTTAGAAGCAAAGTGAAACGCCTCTTTTTGTAATAGACTCATCAACTGGGATTGCATTATGCATAAATTTCCAAATGAAAACTGAAGTTTTAGGAGGGATACCCAACTTCCATACATATTTGTACCAACTAATTGGCGGGTCCCTATCTTTCCACCTTATTCATGCATTTTCAAAATGTATCCTTATCCAACCTTACTAAGATACCGGATACCGATATTTTATACCATGGTTTATTTCTCACTTGGTAGAGAGGAAGATTTGGAATCAGTTGTGGCCTTATATAGGATTGGACAGGTTCGGTAATTCTGTTTATTTTAGTCGGGTTGGGTTGTATCGCTTTCAGGTGGGTCTTCTGGTTTATCAAAAGCTGTACTGAACCTGACCGTTAACAATCCTCGGCTAAGCCATCTCTTTTACTCCACGAACGGTTACTTTTGTGGGCAGTCCCCTCACTGAAGTCCAAAGGACCTCTTATCTCGCCTCATGTTAGAACAAAATATTGTAATCAGAACGAACAAAGCTATAAGAGAATATTCCGAGTACTAAAAATATGCCTTGAAATCTTGGGTTTTTATTTTATTAGGTTAGGGTTAGGTTCTCTCTATTATTTATGTATCCTCTTTCTTTTTCTCTGTTATTTCTCATCTCTTTCACATTTATCTTGCTTTCTCTCTTCTTCATACTTGTTTTTCTTATTTTGTAATGAAGTGCTTCAAGGCGCTACACAAACCCCTCGCATCCCATCTTCATTTTTCTCCAGGTTCTTAGGACATGATCTGTTCTGAATATAAACACAAAATTCACATAGAAATATGAAGAAGCCCTTTCTTAGACAACTGAAAAACCTGAGTCGAATACCAACATCGAAAACATGTTGGGGAGTTAAATGCAGATGATGATGATGATTTCGATTCCTTAATTAGAAACAGTAGTCCATGGGTAGTGGCTATGCAAAATGCCTTTATCAAAGGCATCTCTAGAATCATAATCTTTCTGGTTCAGCACATAGCCAAATAACTACTAAGTAGGGATCCAGTATAAACATCTATAGAAGATGGCTATTATAACCACTTGCCAAGTAAAACTTATGTGGACCCAAGATTGGCATACCTTCTCGTTCAGCATATACATGAAAAAGTAGTTTATGTAAGAGATTTATAGTTATGTTTTCCACCCTCTGTATGTATTTTCTTCCAATTTTTATCGGTTGTCTCCAAAGTGACGATTGAGAGCCTTCAAAATGGTATTCTTCAGATCTCTTCTACTTTATAAAAGCATGGTACAACCATTCTGTCAGCCAAACCAGATGCATACGTGAGATGGAGCTGCAGTCATTGCCCTAGTTCAACGTACAATAGAAGATAGATCCAAGATTGTTGGTGGAAGATGCATTGTTACTGAGATGTTGTAAAATGCTCCAAAGATTCAAAATACAATAAAAAATGTCAAACTCTACAAGCTCCAAAGATTCAAAATACAATAAAAAATGTCAAACTCTACAACAAAGTGGGAGTGACAACAATGGAAAGTTCTGAAATATGGATCCATCATAGCCAAGAAAAATTCTAGTTGAGTTAGCAGGACTCCCTGCTGGTGGAAGACTGTGATTAGAGAAGATAGTTACAGTATTTTATACTCTACCAGAATTATAGTGTTCATAATACAGGCATGACTAGTAGCGGTTGAAGACAGAACAATGACCATGCCAAGTGAGGGGAAAAAAACATCATTCTCTTTGGTCCAATTGTAATTTTCCATTAGAAAAACAAAATGCAAACCAGAGAAAAACCCACAAGCTAAGATTCAATGTGGTTGGAGTTTTATGTCTTAGTCCACGGAAGATCCCTGGAAATTCACTATTTCTTATCCAATGAAATACAGCTCTATCAGGCATGCTACTATTTTGTTTTTGTTTATCAATGCACTTTTTAGCCTGCTACATTTTATATTATGCATGTAATCAGATTTCTCAATGCTTTCCTAATCTACAGCTAAGAATATATATATGGTAAATCAGGTGCCAAAAATACCCCTATGTTGGATGATGTATGATTAAGTTTCACATGCCCCTAGCTTTGACCCTGTTTTGGTGGTTGAATTTTGCTTCTAGGTTTCAAATCTTGTAAAGGGTATCTGTCAAATTGTGTTTGTGTGTGTGTGTGTTTAACATGGCTTAGTTCCTTGAACTAAAGTTGAACTCACTTGGATTACAGCATGGAAAGGATAATTGAACGATATGAAAGATATTCTTATGCAGAGCGAGAGCTTCTTGCAGCTGATCCTGAATCACAGGTATGCCATGGGTCCAGTCATTTAAAAAAATTAAAAGTTATGAATGAATATAGGTCAAACTTCTAAAGTCTGGTAAATTAGTTCAATATTTTCTAAATTTAATTCTGAAACTGCTTTTAACTGTAATTGAAAATCATGAAATTGACATACTGTTTCCTAAAAACTGTGTAGGGAAGCTGGTCTCTCGAACACACCAAACTTAAGGCTAAGATTGAGATTTTACAACGGAATCAAAGGTACTGACCTAACTATATGTCAAATCTAAACACAGATAAAAACGATCAGGGAATGATGCAAAATTTATATTGATGCTTGCAGACATTATGTTGGTGAAGACCTCCAATCCTTGAGTCTAAAAGAACTGCAGAATTTAGAGCAACAGCTTGATACTGCTCTTAAACATATACGAGCAAGAAAGGTTTATTTAACTTGTTCCTCACCAAATTATTAGACAAATTCAACAGTTAGCTAAATACTTGATAACTTTTTTGCTATGCAGAACCAACTCGTATATGAATCGATTTCAGAACTTCAAAAAAAGGTGAGACCTTGCTCAAAGATCAAAGTTAACAATTTTAATTGGAAAAGAAACTTATAGAAGTAACATTGCCCACTCATGATGCATTCATATGGAGCGATTAGTAAGTCCTCGAGAAGTAAAGATATCTCTAGTCTTGGAAGATGTGTCAATTGTAGCTATTCGGCTCAAAAGTTTCTTTATACTCCTTGCAAAGGACTGATTATTAGGGTTGGATGCAATGTAACAAGGATGATCCTGGTAAAAGATTTAAAAAAACCAATTATCCCACAAAGGTGTAATATATCATATTATCTAACAAAGGTTGTGTTTTATTACAGGAGAAAGCATTGCAGGAGCAAAATAACATGCTGACAAAGAAGGTGAAATTTGTACACTTGCACGCATGCGGTTCGCATTTTTCCCTACATCTGCAACTCATTTCCACTGTCATCTCAATCTAAATTTATATGTTCATCTTAAAATAGCTTAAAGAGAAAGAGAAGGAAAAGGAGAAAGCTCTAGCGCAACAGTCTCACTGGGAGCAGCAAAACCAAGGACGAAACTCACCGACATTCCTACCATCACAACCACTTCCCTCCCTAAATATGAAGTAATCATCTCTCCCTCTATCTCTCTCTCTCTCTCTCTCTCTCTCTCTCAACCATTTATAACGCTGAAATTTTGTTTTTATAAAATGCAGTGAAACTTATCAGGAAAGAAGCACTGCATGCGAAGATGAAGAAGCTCGACCTCACCCTCGAACCAATACGCAAATGCCGCCTTGGATGCTTCGCCACTTGAACAAATAGAAAGAGAGATCACAGCTATCTGTTATGCAGTTTTTGGTCACTATATACTCAAAACAAGAGATGGAAGTAGCTTACATGCTTGGAGAGATTCCACGATAATGTCATTACCATAACGATCATCAAAAAATGTATAAATTTCTACCAAACATAAAGAAACATCTCTCTCCACCAACCCGAAGCTAAAATATTTGAATGTATCTTGGACCTGGTAATTATAATATTTTAATCTTTTTTTGGTTGAATATAATATTTTAATCTCTAGTTCTAATCTGTATCTGGAGTGAGAATGATGTTGAGGATGGATTTGAACTCTCCCCGCCCACATATATCTTAATTAACAACAGTATCATCTATCGATCCACTCCTGTATTTGACCTTTTTCTCTTGTTGCTGGGAAAATAAAAAGAACAAATAAATTTTGTTTATCTGGAATATTTATGAAAAAGGTAATTTGAAATAAAAAGCTTGGTAACCTTTATGGTCAAGCAAAAGAAATGACTAAAATTCGCCGTGGAGCGCAGTTTCACGGGACGTGCTTACTCGTAAATGGATCAACTTTGCCCGTTGCACAAGTTGTACTTGTATCAGATCAGGAGCCCTGCTTGAGACTTGAGAGTGTATGAGGTAGGAGTGGAGGACGACTCCATATTTTGCGAAACAAGTTTACATACTTTTTTTTTAAAATTTTGCTGCAAACTTTGGAGAATTATGCATTGAGAAGAGGAACCAATACATCGGGGGGTGTGACCTACTCCCATTAAACTATGAGCTAAAACATTTGTTACTCTTAATTGACACAGAGAAAAAGGAAAGCATGGTGAATTAATGGTGATACCAAGTGTAGAATATCCTGGATAACCACTTGACTGGGCCAAGAGCATGAGGTCAGGGAGCCACGCAAACCACAAACAACATTGTAATTGTCTGATAAAACATATATAGTCAGATTATGCAGATGAGATGAATCCCGCAACGCGTGGTAGCTAGATAGCTAGCCATAGATGGCTTCACACACCTCAACTTCCTTATAGAATAGAGGAACAGCCCTTGCTCCGGAGAATTTCTTGTCCCTGCCTAGCACAACCCACGCTGCAACTACTAGTGATCTACCCGCTTTAACAGCAGCATCGGTGTAATTCACAATATCAGCTACACACTATTACTATATATGCTCAGCATCCAAATTGGGAAGTTGATAATTACAACCTCTGATCTGAGTATCATCAATAGCCACACCTCCACTCATTACGTGCCCCCATTCCTCTGTAAATTTCTCGACAGCCCGGAGCAACTTAGATGGAGAAACAGGAATGTTACCAAAGATAACATTGTTCCTGGCCTCCCAGCAAATCTTCCACAGTATGAGTATAGAGGACACCCAAGCAAACATCCTCATGGCATGGTCATCATGTTATAACTAATGCATGAATCCAGTTTGCAACAGACTGGACCTGAATTGAAACCCAAGGGGTGAGAGCCCAGCCATATGGCCCCAGACACTGGGCAGTGCCAAAAGGGATGCTCCACAGATTCAGTCATGTCACAACCAAAGGGACATTTGTCTGAGATAGCAAGCCCAAATAATGCATCTCTTCTCTTGTTCTCAGCCCCCCATTCAACAGTTTCCAGAGGAACAACAGACGGAATAATCCCCTATAGGTGACAATACATCAGTTAACAACCGATACGCGGATTTGACAGTTAACAAGCCATGGCGATCATGCAACCACAACCAACCATCCGTTGGACTCTCATATCGAGGCACAGGCACTTGCATGATTAGTTGAACTACTTTAGAGTCATCAAACATGTACAAGTGGGAGATTATTCCACCTTTTTGTCAAAAGCAAGAGATCACTCACACGGGCAGTTGTATCTGGAACATGACTCTGGGGCATCGGATGCATAAAACTCAGAGCACCCAGCAACCATCAGATTCTAACAATAGTGCCATCCCCTATCTTTCCCACACAAAACTTAATTTCTTCCCACGTCAAATTGTAAAACTCAGAGACACGGAATTTACGAAGAAAAGTGACGTTTCCTTCACTAAAATAATCAACTATATATAAGCAATTATTACAAGAGGCTGACGTGGCATTTAAAAAAAAATAAAAACAGATCCATAATTGAATCCATAACCGATTGATTAACGGATGGTAACAAACTCATTCCTAAGATTGGACTTCATCACAGCTGTAGCTTTATCGCAAGAATAAAGAGACATTTATCTCGGCCAACTGCTTTAATAAAGATATTTGCAGGTTGAGCTGACGTAGATAGATGAACAATAGTTATAGCTTTGGACTTGAGGTGTTTTCATATGAATTGGCAATCTATTTTAATGTGTTTGATATATTCATGGAATATTGGACTGGCAGCGATGTGGAGTGCTGCCTTGTTGTCACAGTATAACTTCATCGGTTGAGGATGAGAGAGACCAAGATCAGAGAAAATTTGCTTTAGCCATAATAGTTCGTTGGTGGCAGTTGCCAGTGCGCAGTACTTTGCTTCAGCAGAGGAGCGGGCCACTATTGCTTGCTTCTTGTTCTTCCATGACAAAGGAGATTGTCCTAGGGTTGTGAGATATCCGGCGATGGATTTCCGAGTGGTTCATAATAAGCTCACAATTGGAGATCACAATCAGCCGGAAGAAGTATACATTGCTCAGGTGTAGCTTTCAAGTATCGGAGGACGTGTATTGCAGTATCCAAATGTTGTTGTCTAGGATCACTCAGAAATTGAGTCACAACCAGCCCAATCTGAGTCACAATAAGCAAGCAATTGGAGATCACAATCAGACAGAAGAAGTATACCTTGCTTAGGTGTAGCTTTCAAGTATCGAAGGACATGTATTGCAGTATCCAAATATTGTTGTCTAGGATCACTCATCAACTGACTTAGAATGTGAACTGAATAAGTGAGTTTTAGTCTCGTAATGGTGAGATAGAGAAAATGACCCACAAGTCGTCTATACTACTTGGGTTGAGCAATTGGTTCACTAGATTCACGTCCCAAATGATGTTGTTGTGCAATGGGAAACACACTAAGTTTACATCCTAGCATGACTGCATCCTAAAGTATGTCAAGGGTATATTTTCTTTGACTGAGAAAAATGACAGAAGAAGACCGAGAGATTTCAATGCCAAGAAAATATCGAAGAACGCTAAGATCCTTGATTGGAAAACACTGCCTTAGGTAGTCCTTAAGAGCAGAAATGCGGGTTGGGTCATTTCTAACAATCACCAAGTCATCAACATATGCAAATACCACTAGAATGTTGCTTGATTGGACTGAAGTAAAGAAAGTATTATCAGTAATGGATTGCTTGAAGCCCCATTGACGAAGAGCATGAGCTAGAGTTTAAAATCAATTACGCGAGGCTTACTTGAGGCCATAAATGGATATGTTCAAGCGATAGACTCGTTGATCCTTAAGAGGCAGGAGTCCTGGTGGAGGCACCATGTAGATTTMTTCATGGAGAGTACCATGCAGGAACGCATTGTCTACGTCCATCTGATGTAGTTCCCAATTTTGGGTTGTAGCCAGAGCTAAGAGGAAGCGTACAATTACTAGCTTAGCCACTGGGGCATACGTCTTTGTATAATCAATGCCTTCAGTTTGAGTATAGCCTTTTGCTATCAAGCGGGCTTTGTAATGTTCAATAGTTCCATTAGACCTGTACTTGACTTTGTAGACCCAACGACACCCAATGGGAGTCTTTCCCGATGGTAGGTCAGTCAAGGTCCAGGTATGGGTGCGATCAAGGGCAGCTAGTTCGGCTAACATAGCTTGTTTCCAACAATCATGTTTGCTACCTTCATCATAACAAGACTCAGGTTGTGTAGGGGGGACTGAACTCATAGTTAAAAAATTGGAGATTGGGTGGTGGGTGATGTATGAGTTAGTTTGTGACTGAAGTGTTGGACAAATGTAGTCAACTAGGTGCAGAGGAGGTCTTTTGGATTGAAGTGGGTGATGGTTATGTGAGGTTGGAGGTCTAGGAATAGTAGGTTCAGAGGTTGGCGAAGTGACTAAGTCCATGCCACTAGTGTGTTCGGGCAATTTTGAACTAATAGGGGGCTATGAGTTGTCACAAACTGGTTCAGTTCTAGGTGTTTTACTAAGAACTATATCATCAACTGTCGGCAGAGGCATGGTTGATGGTGGAGGTGGGTCCAAAGGCACATTCTCATTAGCAAAAGGAAATTTGTGTTCAAAGAAAATCACATCTCTGGACACAAATATCTATTTGGTTGTCAAGTCATATAATTTGTATTCCTTTTGACCATTAGTATACCCAACAAACACACATTTGGTGGCATGAGCATCAAATTTATCACGCCCACGTCGAGATGTACTTGCATAGTAGAGGCAACCAAATGTTCTGAAATGATTATATGAAGAAGGCTTGTTGAAAAGAAGTTCATATGGGTGATTTCCCAGCAAGTATCGGAGTAGGCAAGTGATTAATGATATAAGCTGCTGTTAGGATGCATTCTCCTTAGAACTCGATTGGCAGGTGCGCTTGGAACCGTAAGGTCCTTGCTATCTCAAAGAAGTGTTGGTGCTTGCACTCAACAACCCCATTCTATTGAGGGGTGTTTACGCAAGACGTTTGGTGTAAAATTTCATGTGTTGTCAAGTAATCTTGAATTGGTCCAGAGAGAAATTCGGATCCATTGTCCGAACGGATATACTTAACTTGGGCATTGAACAGAGTTTTCACCTTTTCACAAAACATTAGAAGAAAAGAACAGGCATCTGATTTATATCATAACAAATATACCCATGTAGCTCGAGTACAATCATCCATAATTGTTAAGAAATAATGAGCTCCAGAATGAGACGGCGTGCGATAGCCTCCCCAAATATCACAACGTATGAGTGTAAATTGGGCATCAGACTTAGTATGACTAATGGGAAAAGAAAGATGCATTTGTTTTGCTCGAAAGTATATGTCACAACAATCATCATTTGGTATAGTAATATGCAGTTCTGGAATCAAAGCAAGTTTCTCATAAGAAGCATGTCCCAACCTTGAATGCTATATGCATGAATCATGTACGCGGGTACTATGTAGTGAGAAGGATGGTAGAAAGGAAGTGAGATGATACAGCCCACCATGCATCAGGCCCACACCAATCAGTTTCTTGAATGTTAGGTCTTGAAGGGCACAGAAAGTGGGAAAGAACAACACAACACAATTCAAATCTTTAGTGAGTTTACCAATAGATATAAGATTGCATTGAAATCCCGGGATGAATAACACATCCTTTAATATCAGATCTGGAGA